TATAGTATAATGGTACATAGTGACTTCGAAATAAGATGATCGATCTCACAGAACACAACTATTTCACTGTAGTACATTTGTGTGTGGGTTCGCACAAAAGCAAAGGGACAAAATGAGCTGTTGCCAAAAGGATCCACTCGCATTTAGAAAATTAAATTTCACGAATAAAAGAGGATCAGTGTTATTTCACAGCCTAGCAAAAAGAAAGCACCATTTCCAAAGAAATACATACATACATTTTATGTATGTTATAACGAAACGTCAATGTGATAATAATAATATTTAACCCAATTAGAGATGGGAAAAACGGCTTATAATTCTTAAACGTTGTGCTTTTTACTTAAACGCTTTTTAGTTTGATGCTTATAAAATCGTTTAGGGAAATATTAAGCACATAAACTTTTGTTTAAAAAAGCTTGTTTACAACAATTGTGTTGATATTTCTTCAAAATATTATATCTCACAGGACATTGGCGAAATCGACATTTTTTTTGTATAATATTTATAATAATATTAAACTACCGTACATAGTTATTTTTATTTGACATTGGCAAAATCATTGATTATGTCGATGGGGCCATAACATTTAAAAGAAGAAGAACAATTGTGTTGACAGCGGGAAGGGAATGTAGCCACTTACCTACCGACGGAATTTGAGGTAATTAAAGTAAGTTTTTGTAAATTATTAATTTTATAAATAATTAATAATAATATTAACGTTTTATTCATTGGCTTTGTTTCAAAGTGTTCAAAAACATAAGTTGTTTAACTTTTGTAATTGTTAAACAAGTGCTTCTGTTAGACATCATATCCTGCTCTTGAGAAAACTCTTTCACAGGGAACTGAAGTTACCACAATATTTGAGCAACAAATAAATATAGTCTATACTTAGTGGGATAAACCGTTTTATGTTCTTTCCACCATTTTATAGGGCATTCGGTTTGAAGCAAAACCGGTTCTCTCCAATACATATTTATTTCGTCTGTGGTTTTTTCTTCAGCAGTCTTAGGCTGACGAGATGATAAAACTTTTTTGTCAAATTTCGCCACAAAGATGTGCTAGGAAGGGAATGTAATCCAGAAGTACCGGTACCAATACCTGTTCCTATAACGTCCTCGGTACCTATGGAGTGTCGTAATTTTTTCCAACAACTTCGCCTTTGCAGCTGACATCGCCGCTAGATCTTCGAAGGCAGGGTGCTTGAAACGGGGATCCAGAAGAGTGCAAAGAGGAATTGACTCATTTTCTTCGATTTGCCCGAATCGTTCAAAAAAGCCACGTTTCAAATTAAATATTAAATTATTAACAATATCAAAAAAATTGTAATAGTTGATCAACTGAATTCGGCCAGTTACTTACTAATAAGTACACTTCCATTCCTCCAGAGGAATTACAGGAAGATCTGTATTTAAATTGAGTATCGTGGCCCTTAAAGCTTCTTTTAGGGAACTGAACCTCTCCAGCATCTGGTATGTTGAGTTCCAGCGTGTAGGGACCAACCGTAACAAACTTTTTCGCTGGGTTATGTTATGTGCGGTTTGTACATATTTTTGTAGTCTTATTTGGCGATAGTGCTGCGCTTGAAATGTGACGCAGTTCTTTGTACACAGTTGTTTCGTAATTTTGTGAAATAGTGCTTCATCAGCCAAAGCTGCCTGCATAATTAAGTTCAATTTATGTGCAAAGTATCCGTAATGAGGAATTCCTTGTATTCTGGCAGCTGCTACCATATTGGCGGCATTATCTGACACTGTGAAATTATTTCATGTGATAAAGACACTTTTGACATGATCACATATAGCTTTATTATACCTACATATGTAGGTATACAGAGTTTTTCTTAAATGAAAGACAGTATAGGGAAATCCGGAACCATAGAAGTTAGACGGAAACTGTCTTTGGAACTCTTTTTTTTGTGAAAACATTTTTGGCATAGTCAATTTTTCGGTCAAGCGTGAGTTGTCCATAAAAATTATTAAAATTGTTCAAAATTTTTTTTGTGGTGGTCGACACAGTTTCATGAAGGGATCATTTTATTATATGTGATGAAAAGATCGGGACCGCAGAAGCTGGTCAAATTTCACAAAATGTTTTTCACACAAAATGAATAACAATACAACCGATAACAGTTGCAGTGCCATTCAGAGCTTTAATCACAAAGATCTGAACGGCACAGCTACTGCGTCCGTCACCCTGACACAAAGCTAACAAGTTTACCATTTCTCGGATTTGGCAAAAAACGTTGCCAATGACTGATTTGGCCTTTAAAACTCAAGTCTTATTTATTCATTTATTTAAATTCACCAACGCTTAATACATTAGGTTACTATAAGTTTCCACACAAGTCTTACATTCGTTTCTTTGTTGAATCTAATTCTTTGATTCTAATTGATTGACTTAAATCATAACCATGCATGACTAACGTCGTTCCGTGAAGGTGCGTACAGATCTGGCAAATGCGACGCGAACGCGCTGCACGCGTGCTGCATGCGTACAATTACACACTCGCACACATAACGCACACACTCAACATAGCCCCGCACTAGGGAAACCCTGTGTCGCGGGTGCCATGAACATACACATAGACAACCACAAATTAGACCCAAACTCACGAGAGAAATAAATGTAGGCCATACAAATATTTCTCCCGGCCCGGGAATCGAACCTGGGACCTCTGCGTCGCAGTCCGGCATAGTAACCGTTCGGCCACAGAGGCAGTTAGAATTAAATACGTCATGTTATTATATAGCGCGCGAGCCTTTCGCAAACAGGCGCATTCGCCAGGTCTGTACGCACCCTAAGGTACGAGGATTGACAACTTATAATAATATGTAATAATAAATCATTCAGGCCATTTAGGCCATGGTGTTGCTTACAAAAGAAAAACTTAAAACTATGTTAGTAGATACCATTTAATAACCATTAACCAATTAATTTGGAAATATTGGATGATAATTAAAATACGAAAATTAAGAAATTACACAAATCATTACGTAATTTTAAATACAAAATGCGGTTGCGGCAACCAGCGACAGTGTCCGACTGCCATAACCGGCGACTGTGTCGATTTCATATCAATTGTATGAAAATAGCATATTTGCTTCTAGTTGCCGGTTGCTTATATCCAACACAAGACACACACAATTACGATGGGCAAACTACCTCAGGATGCCATTGCCTCTCTCACGCACTCGCTTCAGCACAGACGACTGCTTAGCGTATTGAGACGCATAAATAGGAATTTAGTTACTTAATACGCTCATTTTATTGTTAGCGAATTATATTAAAAATTCAAGCGTTAAGGATATTAGATACTTAAGATTTTCCAGTTTTGTGATAATCAGGATATCGGTGCATAAACTCGGGGCCTATATTGAAATGGTCTTAATGTATGTCAAAGACCTTCAGTTCATCAAATTATAATAGAATCTAATCAACATGCCAATTGCTTATTTAGTTCATCTTTCAATGTTTTTTTTCCTTCGTGCTTCTTAATGTTGCAACAATTTTTCCTAATTCACACTTTAAAGCATCCACATAAATACAGTTCCAGTTACGTAATACCTATCTACGTAGCCCGTAAAGGGCCCGCATGTCCAGGTACAGGGTCAAGAGCACGTTAAGCTTGACATTTAAGATTTAAATCCAACTCTATACCGCTTACGATAAGAATGGTCCAAAGCACAAAGTGTCAAGGATGACGTGCTCTTGACTGTACAAAGGCGGCACTGTTAATTATTTATTAAAATATGACGCTGGCACAAAGTAGGAATTTCAGTGTCATTTAGTTTAAAAAAGTACGTAGTTCTGAATTAAAATAATTTGATATGATAAAATAATAATAGGACAGGGAAATTTGTATTCAGGTGCATTCGGAATCCTGAAGACAGCCAATAGACATTAAGAAAAGAGTTGTGCTGTTCTCTATGCTTGTCAATTGCCGCAATAAAGGAATGTTAGGATTATTATATTATAAGCCAGATTTTGTCTGTGTGCTATCGATCGCAACTAGCTAACGGACAGTCCGGAATAACAGAACGACTTTTCGTCGCGTCTGCTTGATTTTCAGAGAGCAACATTATTATATAAAAAAAGTCTAATCCTGTAGGGGCAAGTAAGGTAAGAGGAACACCGGGGGAAGAGGGACTTGAAGCCTTAACACATAGGTAATCTAGAGTTTAGGACTATAATCTTTCAGTCGATAAAACAGACAAATTAGTTTAAACAAATTGTAAAGATGTCGCTACGATGCATTTTGGATGCATCGCGATGCTTCAAATCCAATAGGTGGAAAAAAACAAAATCTTGAGAATACGAGGTATACTGCGTATGTACATACATTATCTTTATATGAAATGACTGGTCCTCTTTCACCATATTTTGGGGAAAGAGAAACGTTAGCACAATTTGCACGTCATCGGCAAATACCTACGCCGTAAGTATTGAATTGAGCGTAATGATTGTCAAAACATGTAAAGCTGATAAAGGCAAGTTTCGTGTACTTCAAAATTCTTATAAGACATTGTTTATTCTTTCTATAGCTCAAAAAATTTGATTCAAAAAACATCACAGTACATAGTACCTACTGAAAAAACCGACCTCCAAAGTTCGTGAAATTACATCTATTTGCCAAATTCTATTGAAATCTGTTACCAGAAAATGCGCGAACCGGATTCATACCCTAGTTTGCCACTTACTTAGAGGTGGAATATTTTATTCAAATATAAATAGGACCAATGCTGAGGTACCCTCTTTCCAACAAAAAAAAATCATCAAAATCGGTTCACAAAATGTTATCGCGTAACATACATACAAAAAATACTATTGAATTGAGACCTCCTCCTTTTTTTGAACTCGGTTAATAAAGTATGTTCCTCTATCCCATCTGACTATACATTTCGAAAACCGTTTCGATTTCTATTTTTGACATTTATGTTTTTTTTGCAATGAAGCTGTTATATAAATTGATAAATACCAAAATAAAACAAAAAATGTAATAATCAGTGTTTTATTTTCTTTCTTGAAACTGATACTGCGGTCTCGGTCTCGTATTCGATTTCCATACGCGGCTTCTTTATCCTTACCACCTTTTGCGCGACGTCCTGAAAATATATAAAATTTGTTATTACGTGCTGCATTTGCTCAAAGACATACGTGGGCTATGTCAATGCAAAGAGTACAACAATGAACAATAGCGAAGGACATAAGTATAGTAAAAATTAAAGCAAAGGAAGGCGAGTGGGACTGTCTGAATATCATCGCATTTGTCACGAATTAACATAACTTATACAATTTCGACAGAAAAAAATAATTACTTTGTTCGAATCAGAATTTAAAATAATCTCAGTAGAGTACTAAAAAAACAGACCTCAAAAGTTCGTTCGTGGAATGACATCTATTTGCCAAGTTTTATTGTAATCGGTTACCGACAAGTGCGCGAAACCGGATTCATCCCCTTAGTTGCCACCATTCGAGGTGGAGTATTTTCTTCAAATTTAAATGGGACCCATACTGAGGTATCCACTTTTCAAAAAAAAAAGAATCATCAAAATCGGTTCACAAATTATCGCGTAACATACAAAAAAAACTACTGTCGAATTGAGAACCTCCTCCTTGTTTTGAAGTTTGAAAAATAATTTGACATTCTGTACAAACTTGGATCAGCTGTTCCGGTCAATCTATATCGTAGCTGAATTTTTTGGTATAATTTCCAAAAGATGAAGAAAATCTACATTAAGTGTTGTCACAATCGAAAAAACGCAAGAGATAATAGTAATTATAGTAATTCGTACTCGTAGCTTTTTATTACAAATTAAATTTTAAAAGCGACAATCAATTATTTACCTCAATATCAGAAGTTTCCGACTCGAAATCGCTTGCGACATCTGCACCTTCCCTTCTACCAGAGTCACTTTCCTGAAATTATTTATTTGTAACAATTAATATGAAGTAAAACACATCGAGTATATAACCAGAAATGGAGACGAAATAAGGGCCATACATTCCTGGTAACTCATCAGTGATACATCACTTATAAACATCAACTCTCGTTTGCACTGAAATATAGAAACGCTAACAACTGACCTGTGTGTACGTCTCCGTATATTCGTAAAATATTCTGTATTTATTGTAACAAAGACAATATCTCTAACAATGGCGTGCCATTTCATTTGGTCGTGTGGGGACAAACAGCAAAACATCTAATTACAAAACAAACGGAATCAAATTTCATCGGTAACTAAACATTAAATATGTAATGTGTTCATTATATCATCAGTGTCCATTATAGCAAAACTCGAGTTAACTGGTCGATTTGAAGCGAAACAATTGATGACACCCGTCAACCCGTCACAGTAATGATATAGCAGAATAGTTTTCAAACAAATTAAATGACATTTCGTCTCTATTTCTGGTTATATACTCGATTATACAAACATAACAAACCCTTACTTCTTTGGTTTTACCATGTGCACGTGTATGGTTTGAATCAAATGTTTACGATTTTTCTTTTTTGCACGTGTGTCACTGCCAACTCGCAATGAGCACACGAGTACACAGTACACGAGTTGCCAAAGCACATAGCGCAAATAACACTATAAACATTAAGGCAACATGTCCATATTAAAAAACAGTTTTAGTATGCCTTGATGGTGGTTTCAGGCTCTGATAAACAAATTTGTTCTTTGTTTGGTTACCTACAAGGTCTCTTTCCTGGTTTGTTTATGTACAGAATTCTCTTTACAACTGATTTGTTCTTTTCAACCCATGGTGTTTGAACGTTATTTTTAAGGCTGATGGTGAGGTTATGATTAAGAGTTTGATTATATTTTTATTGCAAAAGGTCATTACAAAAAGGACCAACAAAATAAGAGATGGAGCTAACTACAATCTTTACTTGCACACAAAACTTAAAACAACTTTGTAGATAATAATAATAATAACGCAAACACTGAACATAGCCCCGCACTAGGGAAAACCTGTATCGTGGGTGCCTAGTACTACTGTAGCCTACTAGATAGTACTACTGCTTAACGTCATACAGTAGGTACGATCACGATGCGGCACAGGGAAACGTATGGAAATTTGTCAAAATTCTCTAGTAAAACGTTCAACCATAGTCTTGAGACAAGGAGTGTAAATGCGGTTTTCCACCGGCGAGGCGAGACTAGACGAGACAAAACGAGAAGAGACGAAAATTAAAATCTCCCCTGCCTGTTTCCTCCAAAAATTTCCATTAATAGTTGTGGTTGTGGATAGTGAAGATTCAGTGCTGTTCAGTTCTTCTAGCGATAAATACGCAACTGAAGTAATTTGTCCAGTAAATTATTATTATTATTAAATATGTTAACGGAAGACTTGGATGAAACCATCTTTTATTAAATCTCAAGTCGCACGTGCCCCACAATCGTGATTGACATTAATAGCCATCGCGAACTCGCGGGAGACCGTGCGGGCACCTGCAAGATCGCGCGAGCTCGCGCGAGAGATCGTGTTTCCGTCAATTCTATGTAGGCAGCAATACAGTTCAATATTACGTCAACAAATATTTCAATTCTCGCCCATCATCGTCAATCCAGACCATTTCCACCGAACATGGGCTAGGAGAGAATTTAAATTTTGTAATACAAATTTCTATCATCGTCTCGCCTCGACTAAAAACCACCTTAACTCCGTACAAACATTACTTGTAACTGAGCACGCCCTCCGCGCGCCGTGTACGGACGCTAACATTCACATAATTTCCCGGTGTACACGCTTTGCATATGCGCGGGTTGTCATATGCGCCGTTGTTATAAGCAGATGGAAGCACAATAATTGAAATTTCATTATAAAATCAAAACGTCGTAACTTGCAATAATAGGTGTTGATGGTATTGAACTTTCAAGTAAACTTTAAATTATATGAACAATACCGAATTTATTTCTTTTGCAATTTGACGCCCACCATTATGAAGATTTCAATGTTTCAAATTATAAATGTGTAAGTTTTAGCGACAGTGGTTCTGATAGTAATCGAGACTTACGGCACTTCAATTGTATTTCTTAAGTAACTAAAACGATAATGTGGCAACAGGCCGAACAGGTGGAAGTTGCACTACTTGTTTTACTATACTATGTATTAACTGACAACATTAATAGAAACTGACACTGGCCCATGCCTAGTGACCGCCATTAAGGAAATGGAATAGAATACTATACTATGGTTTAACTGTAACCAAAGCCCTAAACATACAAGTCTCACCTCATCAGTGTCCATATCACTATCTCCCTCAATAAACTCATCAGCGTCCCCTACTCTCCGAAGCTCCTTCTCTAGCTCAGGCTCCATTTCAATTTCTCTCTCTTCTTCATCTTCTTTTTCACTCTCACTTTCGCCTGACACCTCTTCTGCTTTGAGAGCCGCGTCGAACGCCATTTGTGGGAAGTTGTAAATGTCATTGTACTGAAAAAGGTTTTGAACATTAACAGCTGAAATTACTATATGACTAACTGTCGATAAACTCTTCTAGAACGAATACTGACAAAGACTAGCACTACACGTACTGCAATTTAGATGCGTACAGACGACGCCTACCGTCATATTCTAATCAGAAATCAACACTATATTGGAAAAAATTTCTTCCGATAAAAGGTCATCGAAATTATGCGATTTTAATACGTATAACCCTAAAGTAATGCGAATGTTGAAGTCTATTATTAGCGCCACTTGTTATAATGTTTGTCACTCACTGTTCCTTTCTTCAATCTCTCCAGCAGCTGTTTCTCAATAGCGTTGTCTATTCTAGCAGCGACTAACGCCTTCTCCTCCCTTCTGCGCTCGCGCCTTTCGATTTTCCGTTGTATTGGTACTAGCTCTTTTCTGAAATTTAAAAATAGTATGTATAATATACAACCTACAAAGTTTAAAAACTACTGACTTCCAATAATGTGCTACACAAATTACCTAGTCTCAAACGAAGGAATTATCTATACTAAGTGTACTAGAACAAAAGAATTCACTTCTATGCAGTACACAGCACATCCAAACGAGAACCTATTTAAAAAAGTTTGTTCCCAAATTGGTTCTACCGGGAATCGAACCCATGACCTTGCGAAAATCCACTGTTGTTAAAACTGGAGGATTTTTTAAAGTATATTTCATAGAAAACAATAATTAATAAAATAAAGTTGAAATAAAAACTTACACTCTTCTAAGTTTCAATTTTCTCATCCGAATGAGATACTGAGTGATCTTAACGAATCTCTGTTTGCACTTGGCCTTGATAAACCCAGGCCAATAGAGCAGGTTCTCATTTATCTGATGTATTGCCTTCTCAAAGTTTCTTGATAGCTTCACTTTCTCCCATGCTTTAGCTGGGAACATTACTCTGAAAGATTTTATTTCATTGTTGAAAAATTTTCTAACTCATATCATGCTCAGACCAGGGGGCACAATTTCCTGACTCAAAAGTTAGTCACACTTTCATTCAGGCTATAATGTAAAAACCCATATAATTTTTTTACACTCATTCCTTAATTTGAAACCTAGAGGAGCTGCATTGTAACATAAACAGGAGATCTGTGCATAGATTTGAGATGTATATAGATAGTCATAACCGAGGCGGCCGCGGAAGCGCACCGGGTCCGGGAATTTTTACTATGCCGTCATGCTCATTTATGTTTATGAGAAAATCATTTGTGTTACTGCAATCTCATTCGTGTGACCTAAAATATCGTTTTTTGTTGTATTTTACTTAAATATTTCTGTGATTTTATAATTATTGACATTTCTTGAACTTATTTATACATTTAAGACCTTAAAACCAAAACAAAAAAGGGTTTTACAAAAATCACTCAAAAAGGGCCATTGAAATTCGGAAAGTGAAATTCACCCTTTGCTGTTACTATGTAATTTTAGCACGTCTTATATTACCATATTTTTCTCGTAATTTTGAAATTTATTCACAATCATAAATTTCTTTTTTGTTGTGACCTGATGTGACCTTATTTCTAAACTAAGTGGTTTATACGTGATATTTTTAGTTTATTCATATAATGAAGTTGTCAGATAGTCACTCTTTTTTTACAATTATGACAATAATTCAATAAATATGTGTTTTAGCAGTGACTGTTGTGTTGATGGTGAGCGTTTGCGTAAGTAAATTAACGGCGAATTTAACAAGTTTTCTTTTAATGATAACGCCCGTTTGCCAGAACAACGTGTTATATATATATATATATAATATATATATATATATATATATATATATATCAATGTTTTAGAAATAACACATAGTTCTGGCAAATGGGCGAGAAGTAGTAAAGAAAGAGCAATGTGTACCAGACTTGCATCATCTCAAACTAAAGGCTATGTAACTCGTCAATTCCACAGTTCATATCACAATGTTTAGTTGGCTGACTGAATGTGGGCACACTGATTTGTTTTGTTTTTCTTGTATTTTATTTGCAAACTCTCCAAACGTTTGGAAAGACAATGCAGTAATACACTTGATTTGATTTTGGTAAATGCTTAATTTTTTTAGTTTTTTGTGCCTATCCCAACTACAAACCTTGTGCACAACACTGTCTGTACCATTTCATCCTTAGTGAGTTAGTTCCAAATTAACAACCTTGTAAACAATTATTTTTAAAGTTATTCTACATTATTAACTCATTTTCTTACTATTTTTTATTAGGTCACTGTTATGAACTTTTTCGACACCAGCTGCTCGGTATAGCCAGCCAGCAGGCGGCGGACTGACAGAATTTTATTTTGATTTGTCTTTTGTTTGATTTTATTGAAACGAAATAAGGAGTGGTTTGCATTCTGGCTTTTTCTTCATTTTCATGGTCCTTCCCTTTGTTTTCAGTCACTTTAAATGTAAAGGTGCAACATATTGTTTGACTGAGCACAGAAAAATTAAAATACTTGTTACCATCAACTTCCATGCAACCTAGGGTTCCACAAACAAAATTGAGCATGCGTCATGAAACTATTTTTTCGAATCTAAATCGCATATATTAGTTTTTTCAAACATACGATTTAAATCCGAAAAAGTTTCCAACCAATCGCGAAAAGCTAAGGACAAGATAAATGAGGGTACCTTTCAGCCGTCTTCATGTACAAGTATATAATTCCATTCTCCTCTCGAACCGTGGCATATTTACTGTTCGCTAGCGGGCAAGAAGCCCGGCTACATAAACCAGTGAGGTTATATTCATTGCGACAGAAATGTTGAGTTTTTGTTCTGAAATACACAATAATAAATATCTTATAACTGATTTTAAATACCTTTAGATATAATGAAGATAAACCTAAAAAAATACTCACGTTACTTTATGAGAACAGTGTGTTTTGTTAATGATAGCCCATACCACCTGAAATGAAATAAAATCTATGAATATGTTTACTACGTCATAAAATTAACTTGAAAGTAAGTACTTACATCATCGTGCTGCATTTTCCTTTAGACTTAAAAGCTAGAAATTCTAAAAAAAACGTTTAAATTAAACTTTAATATTAACTTCACACGCAATAGAACTCAGCACCAAAATTTTTTTTTTTTAAATTTATTAAGGCTTTGGCAAAGCCATAAGCCTAAACATGAAGTTTAAATAATTATGTTTCTGTAAATATGGCCGCCACAAAGAGGATAGGCAATTTGAGGCGGCGTGCTTGGATTGACTCGGGATTTCTTAAAACGGGCCGATAGGGGTATTTTAGTTCGAGATTCGTATAATTTCGCGTTTTAATCTTCGATTAAGGCACAATAGCACTATCCTATTCCACTTTAACCTAGATTTCACAAAATAATTGAAAGTCAAAATAAAAACGACACTTTTCCCTCCAAAAGGTCCAGAGCGAATCCAATCAGCACCAAAACATGTGAATTGCAACCACAGACTAGATTGCAACAAATGATTAAATTGTCGAGCAGTGTTGCCAGACTTTTGCGAAGCTAATTCGCCAATTTATGTGTGTTAAGTAGCTGATATTCGTCCAAGCCATAAAATCTCTAAAAATCAAGAAAAACTATTTTACAATTCTCCTTGCCGCAGAATATTGTAGAATATTAACTCTCTTATTTCCCCAATTCCCCACACGTAGAAATACTCAAACCCCCAAATTAGTTATTTTACAACTCCATTCCTCACAAAATCCCCAATCAAATTTGTAATTCCCCAGACATTTTATTATGTAGCCTAAAATCGCCTTTTCCTATTTCAAACATAGGCTAAATATCGCCGAGTCGCCGCCGTTCACTTTTTGAGTCGCCGCGCACCCCGTCAAAGTAATCGCAAAATAAATCGCCTAACCTGGCAACAGTGTTGTCGAGTTTTTTTTGACAGGAACTGACAGTGACAGTTCTTTTTTTTATAGTAGCTATAGCAGTAAATAGAACACGCAAGCACTATTAAGATTTCCACAGTTACAATTTTCCGGTTAGAATTTTGATGATCCGCTGAATGATCTTGCAATTTTCATATCGATACCTTTGTTTCACAGCTTTCCAGCGAAAAATCGAGCTGCACATACTTGCGCGGCGAATGTCCGTAACAACATTCGGTAAATAGTGTTTCTAGAAGTTACCCAATCAAATGTAACGCTCACTGCAATATTAATATGCCTAAAGTATACAACGATACTATAAAAAAGCTATGAAACAATAATATGGAATCCTTTATACTTTATGTAGTGGAGGGCGGAACCCGAAGCGTCGACACTCCACCGTACGTACGTATTATACGGAGGCGCTATTACGATTACAAGATCTCACAATTGTTCAAAATGTAAGGCATACTTTCCGATGTAGTGGAATGGGATACTTATCGCGTTGTTGTATCTCGACCGCCTCTCTGTTCGATTCTTTTTTCTTGGAAGCTATGCCAAAGAGAAGTATTTAAGAAAAAAAAATTGCCATACAATCACACCAAATTTCTGGTCTCAAACTAGGGAATTTCCTGTACTATGAACCACATAAGTATATAGTACAGTACCACAGTAACGATAACTCTAAGGCCAATATACCCTGACCAGAACCAACTTAAAAATGTTTGTTTCATAAATTGGCTCAAATCGGGAATCGAATCTCGAACCGCCTCATCAAGCATCCATAGTACTAATCGTTGTGCCACCGAAGAGCATAAGTACACTCCGTAATCTGAGGCTGACCACGCGCCGCAGGCCAGGAGGTAAATAATACAAGTTTATATAATATCACAAACTAATAAGAGATACTACGTATATAACATCATTGGTAAGGATACTAGAATAAATAGCTTACAAGAATCCCATATCGTTAAAATATATTAAAAGTAAATAGTTGCTTTATTTCCGAACGCACGGATTATTATTAAAAATTAGAACGAGATAAAAGATAGCGATTTTGTATAGCATTTTCTCGCTTGTATTAAGTTATAATAATACAGTAAAGAACACGTCACCTTTTCGCGATTTCGTTGAAAATTGGGATTACCTTTAAATTTGTAGTTTTCCGGGTTGTTCCTTTACTAAACTGGCAAAATGAAATTTAAATTATTGCTATGTTTTATAGTTTTACTAACGTACTATCAGGGCGAGGCACAAACTCGAGCCAAAGGGGTAAGATTTTTCTAAAGTATTTCGCCTACCGGCTACTTACCCATCATGTTTATGCTTTTATCGAGGCTTTTAACAAAATTGATTTATTCTTTTACGACACAAAACACAAAGAACCTAGAATTATTAAATAGCTACTTTTAATAGAACAATATCAAATCAAGTAGGCGCGGTAATCAAGTCAGCTATTTTTCCCCCGATTTAACAAGACCAGCAACCGCTGGTATTCATTTACCAAGTTATTCTAATCTAAGTAAGCTGGTTATAAGTGGAAATCAAGTTGATACTGTGCAAATAGTATATGTACTTTTATGTATTTTGATCATTAATGACGTGCTAGGTTCAAACAGCCTCATCTTGGCTTATTCCCAATTGTCACCACTGGCTTTGTCCCCACTGGCGATAAATGGAAAAAAAATCCCATATGTTACCAGGTGGTGACAAATGGGATAAAAAAATCTCAGTTGTTGCCACTGACAACAAATGGAATTTAAGATATATCTTATCTTTTCTTACCACTAACAGTAGTTGCCGGTGGTAAGAAAATTAGTCTTAAACATCAAATATCTCTAAAACTATATAATAATTAAAAATCACGAAATAATCACATCATTTACAATTATTCAGAAAATCTGGACCTGGTAACATACGGGATTTTTTTCGCATTTGTCGCCAGTGAAAATCACCACTGGCAACAACTGAGATTTTTTATGTTGTTTGTCATCACCTACGGGACATAATAACATATGGGATTTTTTTTCCAATTTGTCGCCAGTGGGTACAGTCAAAAGCACATCAGGCTTGACACTTTGTACTTTGGACCGTTGTTATCATACACAGCATAGAGTTGGATTTCTCTTAAGTGCCAAGCTTGACTTGCTCTTAACCCTGTGGTGACAACTGGGAATAAGCTCTCGTCTTAGGCATGACGAATATTCATGCATTATTTAATTTATTATAACTTTTATTTTTTCAGCTGGAAGAAAAAGTGCAACAACTAACAGACCTAACAGCCAAGAAATCTATAATATCGCTCAATATGAACAAATTTAAGGAATATGTAAAATCACCGCCAAGGGATTATTCCTTTATAATAATGTTTACTGCAATGGCACCTGCAAGACGATGTGCAATCTGTCAACATGTGTATGATGAATATTTAATTGTTGCCAACTCTTTTAGATATTCACCAGCATATAACAACAAACTTTTCTTTGGTATGGTCGATTTTGATGAGGGATCAGAAATCTTCCAAATGGTAAGTCTTAGTAATCGTTTCTGAAATCTTGGTGCTTGGTGCGGTAGCCTATTCGGTAGCTAATTGGAATATCATTGCATTAGTTTAATGAGTAATATTTTATCATTTAGAATTTTTTTAAACTGTTGGTTTCTTAAGTTGCCTTTAGTCTTTAATTCTATTCTATCAAATTCAGAAGTTTTATCTTTATGAATGCTTTCATATTAAAGATGGTTAGCATTTTTATACTTATTAGCTTATTACTAATAACAAACCTCCATTATAATCAGTTGCGTTTGAATGTGAGGAAAGTGTTGTTTGGTCACAGTTGTACAAAACATACAGTTGTGGAATACCCTCAAGGAAGTGTAGCGTGAACTGCATCCCACAAACAAGTTTATGGGATTGAATACTAATGGTAGATGTGTGTGTGATTTTAAAATATTTTTGAATATATGCAGCGAAATCCACTAAATTCATATGCATATATGATGGTGCACACATATGTAATGTTCTGTATACACAAGTAATTTGACATCCAAATATGACTAATGTTACGAAACAAAATTTAACAGAAATTATTTGAGTTGGTAAATAGTGTGGAATTTGAATCACACAATTGGCATATGACAGCATAAGTGCCTACCAGTACTGCTGTACTGTAGGTAATATATTGTAATACTATGACAGCATGCAAACAATATAAATAATTGATAATCAGTTATTTTATAAAATTGATTTTGATTGTATTATTTTGACACAAAGAGATGAAACATTGAGTGAATAAGAACTATATAAAAGAATTATTGGACTAACGACATTTCAAAAATATTACAGTTACGTCTCAACACAGCTCCCGTGATCATGCACTTCCCAGCTAAGGGTAAACCGAAACCCGCTGACTCAATGGATTTTGAGAGGACGGGTATCCATGCTGAAGCTATTGCCAAGTGGATCCAGGACAGGACTGATGTACAGGTATGTTTCAGCTATTTATTACGTTGAGTCCCAAATATAATAAAAAAATTGTGCATATTTTTTTTTATAATATTAAGTGACGGGATGAACAAGTCGTGCGCCTGATAGTAAGCTACACGCATGACCATAACAGTTGCAGTGGCACTCAGAGCTTCAAATCGCAAAAATCTGAGGGGACTGCCTTTGCGCCCGTCACCTTGAGACATAAGTTGATAAGTCCCATATGTCTGTAATTTCACCAGCACCCTCACCTTTCAAAACTGGAACACAGTGATGCTGACATTACTGCTTGGTGGTAGAAATAAGTGGCAGTACTACCTTGGATGAACTCTTTCACAAGGAGCTCTAATAACGCACACACTCAACATATCAGTAGTTCGTTTTGTGTTGTAATGTTTTCAGAATGTATGTACTAAATGTATGTGATAAGACTTTCTTAGCAGAAATTTAGAGGATTTTCGGTCTACTTTACTTCATAGCAGTAAGTAAATACCAGATGTTAAATCTGGTGTTAAAACACCTTTATGTTGAAACTGTTTTTTAAAAATCCCCAATTACTTCATCAAAGGCCTTCTTTCTTTAAATTCTTATTTCACATTGTTTAGTGTTCTCATCATTGGTATTATAACATTATTCACTTTATCCATTTCACTCAACATCATCTTTCACTTCTCTCCTTCCGAGATCCAATCTAATAGCAGTGGACTTGTAGCTTTAATAGCAGTAGAGGTTCTTGTATAAGAGTTTGTCAAGGAAACTGCCATCTTCCCTTTTGTAAAAAAAATTAAGTTATGTAATAATTATAATATAAAGGGCCGGGACGAACAAGTCGTGCGCCCGATGATAAGCTATACGCTTGTCCATAACAGTTGCAGCACCACACATTTTTTGGCATATTCTAAGCGCCTGAAAAAAATGTTAGCAATTACACGGCGAAGATAAACTGTCTTTTTACAGAATAACTATTGCAAAGGCAATTTATTATTTTTTTAAATAACTTTTTATATAAGTTTCCTAAAATAGTGAAACAAAGTATGTTTGGGTAAAAATTAGGTAGTAAATAGTTATATGTATAAAAAAGTAAACTATATACTGCTAGAACCATGAAAAACGTGTGGTCAGCCAACCCGACGTCAGAATGGCTGGCCATTTTATTTCTTTAATATTTCCCTTAGGGCTAAGGCAGAAAATATGTCAATAAAGGTACTGAATAGTAGAAAACAGGTAGTAAATAATGAGCACGGTTTGATTTGGTCCTGATGGACACTAATGTCCTTTATGTCATTTGGTAAAGCATTGTCTATATATTTTTAACTAAACAATTTTCCTACTCTATAATAGACATAAATGAATCCCTACAATTTCTTTTTACAGGTGAGAGTATTCCGTCCGCCTAACTACTCTGGAGCTGTAGCCTTTATAATGCTCTTCACTCTTGTTGGAGGTTTCCTGTACCTCCGCAGGAATAACCTCGAATTTCTATACAACAAACAAATGTGGGCTGTAGCAGCAGTCTTTTTCTGCTTCGCCATGGTATCTGGACAGATGTGGAATCAAATTAGAGGACCCCCCTTCTTCCATAGAACAAAGAATGGTCCAGTGTATATTAATGGAGGATCTCATGGACAGTTTGTGTTGGAGAGTTATATTGTTGCTATATTGAGTATCCTTTTTAAAATACACTCGTAATTTTACTCAATTAAACAATAAAGACGTTGACTCCACGTCATCGTGAATCAAATTATCTTCACATCTATTTTACAGCTGAATATATATATAGCTACTATTTTGTCTAGTATAATATGAGCTATTTTCCTTAACTGTCATCTCAGATGGAGCCGTTGTCGTAGGCATGATTCTAATGATAGAAGCGGCAGGTGGAGTGAGAGGTTCCGAGCAGAGGCTGCAGGAGGGAAAGAGGCGGCGATTCCAGTCCGTTATAGGACTTGTACTGGTCTGCGTGTTTTTCTCACTGTTGCTTTCTGTATTCAGGGCTAAAACTCAAGGCTATCCTTACAGGTGCGTATGATTATAATGTAAGGCTATTAGATGACAGTCACGTTACATACAGAATTGACCGCATTAAACTTTCATTTCTAAATAGTGAAATAAAATCAACGTACCCGACGGCGACGTACCAACGTTTTCCATGTTTAATTTTTAAAATTTGACATGTACTTATCGACTTTTTTTTAGTTTTCGTGATTGTTACACATAGTAAATGAAACTATTTTTTCAGATCTAAATCCTAAAATAGTCAAAAATAGATTTTGCAATTAATATTAGACATAACTGGTTGATGACTTTTTGTTGATGATTTACCATCTCAGTCAGCCGTGACCATGGGACCTATAAAGGGCCCGTCGAAACGTTGGTTTGTTTGAAAAACAAATATACCTACGAATTATATAGGTTGTCCGCAGTGGAGGTGAAGTAAAAACGTGAAAATATGTAGATAATAGTTATAATAAACTTCCACAATGGATTTCTTAACTAAAGGAATTTAGTCTACGTCCAATGTTAGGAATGTTCAGGAACATACTTTACACCAAAGAGATCTTAATTAAAGGAATTTAGGCAACGTGTGATGTTAGGACGTTGTACCGAAAAGTAACTTAGAATTTGTACGTAAAATAATAATTTTGTCAGCGGTCACGTTATAATGCACGGGACACATGTTTCTGCTGCGAATACAAGTGCGCTGACCTGATGTTACAGTTGTTCACATATCCGGATACATATATACGTGATTTGGATCCGAAAAAATAGTTACATTTACAATAATGATAAAATACTTACTGATTAATTTGTTTTTTGTTTCAGTTTCCTGTTCAAATAAAATAATAAATAGATGGTGTAAGAGATAATTGCACATTGTGATAAGTGCAGTTTATTACAATAATAATTCAATTTTTAGTGTGACCGAAATAATAAATCTGTTATTATTTATAAGAAAAATAATCTGTTTATTTGTTTTAGTGAAACCTGTCTTGTTTTATTAACTGTCGTAGTATTTGTATGATATAATAAGGTAGGTTTATATACTAAGTTTTTTTATTCACCATGTCTAGCCTTTTCATTCGAATGATTAGTATTAGTAACATTCAAAGTTGTGCATCGCTAGTTTCGCTATAGCCACGGAACTTCATACAAATACCCAGCGGGATAACGAACGGTATTGTTCGCTACCCACAGCGGTAGTGAGTATCGCTTATATCTGAATATGCAGAAACAGTAGTCTGTTATCGTAGTCACTGTAGATGTGTAGCGATTATTTCAACTTTTTAAACTCATTTTCTTGAAACAAGTCAATTATGTACAATTTAACGACTTTAGTGGCCCTGCGGTTAAAACTGTGGCCTCTATTTTAGATGAGATGAACTTACATAACATCGAGCGAAAATGTAGTAACTGGCTAGCTTACTAAATTTCGAATGATGTATGTAAGTAAGTAATGTCGGCATGGCTGTGTTTCGGTTGCAGTGTTACTCAGAGCCATAAATTGCAAAATCTGAGGGGCACTGAAAGCTGAAATTCAGAAGGTATGGAACGCTTCGGAAGAGACCTACACTCATTACTTGGTGGACCAAACTGAGGAAAATGTTTTTACTGCCCAGAAGAAGGATGCTGAATCACCCCCGGGTAATAAAAATATATGCTGTAAATTTTAGACATATTTTGTAAATATCTGTTTAAATTAACACAGTAATGCTGATATTACTGCTTGGCGGCAGAAATAGATAAGGTGGCAGTACCTTCCCTGGACGAGCTCTTTCACAAGGAGCTCTTCAAATTTCTTTGAGTTTCTATGAGTATACATATCAGAATAATGGTTGGTAACATTACTCAGAACACTCATACTGTAACCTCTTTGTACGGCCCTCTGCTGAGTATAGTCTCCTCTCATGCGAGGGTTTAGGCCATAGCTCGCCATACGAATCCAATGCGGGTTGATAACTTCATTGTGAACCTTCTTCGACATGCAGGTTTAATTACGAAGTTTTTCATCACCGTATCTGTACCCTGTAAAGAGTTGAATCCTGACGTCCTTATATCGTGGTGAATACAGTTTATGTTTATCTAATGCACCCAGGAGATTTAAGTTTACTAAAAGTGTACTTAACGCACCTAGGTAAATTAAGTTAACGCACCCGTAATTTCTTATTTACCACCCCACAATGCACTACTATATGTATTATAAATACCTACATAAAAATTCATAACAACAACTTATCTTCTTTGCTGGCGGATAGCAATTCATTGGACGTGTTCCCAACACTGTTTCTGAGTGTTATTTGTGAAACATTGTATTCGGAAGGTATAAAAAGCTTACTTTTTCGAAAGCTTTTAGCATTTGATTCTCTGTAATTTAGTTTAGACAACCAGCACTGGTCACTGTTAATTAGGTACTTTGTCCGTGGTTCTACTGCGTAGTGCTACTAGTAGTACCAAGGGAGAAGTTTTTAGCCCATGGTTCCACCAGTAGGGCTACGGGCAATATTGTATGGGCATTGGACCTACTGATCGGGTAGTACAGTCACCTTCAATATTAATAATACTACTGGTTCTGAGCTAACTACAATTTTGTTTTCAAGGATGATTAGTTCCATCTGAAACTCCCATTATAAGTTCTTAATCAACACTTGCAATCGTTTTTGGTTTTTAATTTTATGTTTTAATTTGGCTTGTAAATCAAAATTTGCAATGGGAATACTCTGTTTAAAGTGTGGCCTGAGCCCCTTTCGCTATGTGCAGGATGCACCGCGTGCAGGCGAGGTTGGTATGGGGCCCTGATAACTGGAATACTTAGAATTTACAGTCTTATTTCACCCTAGACCGAATTTGCTGGCCTGATCAGTCGCCATTCCAAAGTGGACATAAAGTTGGGTTTTAAAGCCAGCAGCGGCACTCTTCAGTGACTGCACGCACCATATAATATTTTCACTTAAAAGCAATACTTACAAAAATAATTTATAAAATATATTAAACAATGCACGTTATTACAATATATCTTGCGATTTTTTTATGAACTGTCACAGGGATCATCCTAGAGAACAATTGTAGTTAGCTTAGAAGCAGTAACATTATTAATATCGACGGTGACTGTACTACCAATGCCCATATTATAATACCATATTAATATTGCCCGTAGACCTACTGGAAGAACCACGGGCAAAAACATTGCCCTTGGCACTACTAGCAGTACTACGCAGTAGGACCACGGGCAATGAATCGTTAATGATTCTACTGTGTGGACTTAAAATAGTGTAATAACTTACAAATATCAATAATAAATTACAAATATTAATTAAAAGTCTGGCTTGGCAGAGTGGATAAACATAAGTAGGCACCTAATATCCGTTAATGATAAAATCCAATTATGGACAAAAATGCCCATGATAAAAATGCGAAATTAAATACAGTAATAAACACTTTTTATTTTCTATGTTTATAATAATACTGAAACACACAACAGTCACCAAACATGTGAAAACCATTTTCAAACATGATAAAAAATAGGTACCTTACCTACCTACTTAAAACGCGGTCCATAAAAAATGCCCGCTATTATGTCAATGGTGCAGTCTTATTTTTTCTTGGTTAGTCTTTTAAGCCACTTCAAAGTTTTTGACTTGTCTTTAAAACGTTTCCCTCTTTTAAAGACGAGTCTAAAGCTTCTAACATAAAAATGAATTCCTATTTCATCCTAGACTCACTGGCATACAGATTTAAGTAAATACATACATAACAGTCTTATTACGATACGTAATGGCGAATGAAAATGGCCGCCAGTTGTCAAAATTTAACTGACCGTAAATTTTATTTATGAATAATAAAAGGACCTCAAATTAAATAAAAAACAATTTATGTTTTCTTATTTTTAGTACCTACTTAGTTTAAAAATGTTCATTGATTGATGCACTGTCCATTATCGGTGGCATTAGGTACCTACCTTAATTAGCAAACGATCATAAAATGAAATTACTGTGAAGTGAGGATAATGTTAATTGAATCCACACTCATAAATTATTGTTCTGTGTGTAATGTTTATTGATACCTGTGTAGTTATTTCATAATCAAGATGATTCTTGGTAGCCACAAAATATTATTAAATGAAATCGGCGACATTGTAGTTTATTTGGGCAGAACGGTAAGATTGTTTCGGACAAGCACATAGGTGGATAGTGGTAGCGGTTGAGACCCATGACTCTTATACAATAAATTTTCAATAATATATCGCACATGACAACTATAGTATTATCTCAAAATGGCTTTAATTTATATTAATATTACCTATTTAGTTTTAAAGCGACAGTATTGTCCTGTCTCTTTGAAATTAAATCGTATATGAATGACACATCAGTATAGCAAAATTTTGGAAATTAATTATTAATATAACGCAATTTTGAGATAAAATATAATATAACGCCATTTTTGAGATAATACTGTGTTAGTTGTCAAGTGCGATATAATTTTAATTTAATTTAATGCATTGTATTTTATAATGTTTTTATTTTATTTCACTTCATTTTTGTGACTCGTGTATGCTGTAATATTGGCGAAATAAAATGTTTTGAACTTGAATAACCCTGATATAAAAAGGGTTGCACAGTGAGTTGATATTTGATTATCGACGTCTTAAACAAAATGTGATTACGCTGAATTATTCACTTATTCCGCTATTCTTATTCCGTTCTTAGTAGCGCGGGTTACTGAGAGCGTTAATTACTGGATCAGAATAAGAATAGCTGAATATTTAGACCGGGATACTATGTTCCGATTCCATTACTGTGGTGTGTTTTTATATTTCTAAATTTTACCGGGCGGTTCCAATCACCATTTAATTATGGTTTAATCGCTGAAAATATTCCGCCATCCCATACATTCTGGTCGAGTAGGTACGAGTAAAGAACAGCTGATGCTTACTTTTTTTCGTAATTTGTGGTAGTTTCTATTCTTTTTATTCGTATTGATGGGTAATGACCTGTCTGAATTGAAGATTACCATTCTGACCAAATTAATTTGTAACTTGACATGTTTGTGATATTTACTTTATTATTGTGTTCTGGTAATCTTATTGACATAGATATTTGCGTGCTATTTCATATAATGCGAAACTTGTTTGTACTGGCACTGTCTCTTTTGTTATACCATGTTTTAAGCGAATAAACGAATTAATATTATTATTATTAAAATATTGTGATATAAAAAAGTCACACTTCTGAAGAGATTACAAAAAGCCAATCGCTTCGTTAAATATAACATACGTACATTCCAGATTTCCAATATCCACAGATCCAACACAACTACAACTATGCGGTAGCATTAATAACAATATTTGCAATAATTACTGGATACTTTCACTATCGCAAAAATAGCTTCGCTGTCTTTATTAAACAAACGTTAGCGACTTTGGTAATTTTGTACTGCTCTTATTTGGTCTCAGCCCCGGTATGGAATAATATGAGAAGACCACCGTTTTATCAAATGACTGTTAACGGTCGGAACTATATCTATAATAGATCAAGGGCACAATATGTAGCGGAGAGTTACGTAGTCGCTATTGCGAGTATCCTTTTTGTATTACTCATCATAGTCCATTATCTATTTTCGTGTAGGTATAGGTAGCATAATATTATGGCATTTTAAAGCAGTACCTATAGGTAAACAAAAAAGCAACGAGAATGGACACTCTGGTTTTAGATACCTACCGCCACACGCTCTATACATTGACTGAACGGCAGGCATCAAGGCTCTTGGCGAGCCGTTTTGGCGCTAAGACGGCTTTGATATTTGAATATAGTATTCATTTATTCGTTACGAAACTTGTACGTTATTATAAAACATCAGTGTACGTTACTATTTATAATGGTCGTGAATAGTGCTGTGTACGGCTGTTTCTTTTCCGAAAGATGAAACGAAGTTGATAAAAACTTATACCTAATTATTAACTAGGTAATGATAAACTTTAACACACAATTTCAAATACCTTGGTTACCTTATTTAAAAATACCTGTCCAAAATATAACATTTTAAGTGCTTTAATATATTTTTAAAATAAATCTTCAATATTATTCTAGTTGGTGAGTTAATGAAAAATATTATCTAATCGTTATAAATACCTAATGAACATGTGTAGTTATTAGAATTCTATTATAGAATTAAAGAAAACAGATTCGCTTTAGAATTTTCGCTATGTTGCCGCTCTGACTACGTAACGTAATTATAGGAGAAAGTGATGGGTAACGTAATGGGGTAATGGGATTTGCGCGTGTGCAGATAGCGCCTTGTTGTATGTAATAGTAATAGGTAAATAACTTTCGACCGTTGTATGGAGTATTCGGGGTATGGTAATGCTCCAAGTTTGGAAAAATCTTTATCGACTTTGATCTAGAATTCTAAAAGAACGAGATTTAAAAATGCAAGTTTATATTAGTATCTATTTCTTCCAAAGAGTACCAAGATTTTTCACCATTGGTAGAGATACCAGACTATTCTTATTGGAGCAAATCGGAAATGTGTTTCTTCTTATAATCTTAAAGTTATCCTAAATCAGTGTATCAGATGCAGCAGTAACGGTAGGCATGATCCTAGTGATTGAGGGAGGAGGTGGAGTAAGAGTTATAGAACCACCCACACAACCACCTCAAGCGGGAAAGAAATGGCTGCGAAGATTACAATCTTGTATTGGACTTTTACTTATATGCGTTTTCTTCTCGTTGCTCTTGTCTATGCTGAAGTTTAAGAGAAATCATTATCCTTACAAGTAAGTTGACGACAGGTTCAAATCCCAGTGGAACCAGAAACAAAGATCTGCAACGGCAACAAGCATATAGAAAAATTCGTGGTCTGCTCGTTTGTTAAATAGCTCACTTGGGAGAGCGTCAGTCACGGTATGGCAGACGCTGGTTTGAGACCAGCCGGATCGAATGAACTGTTGCTTTGTGCTCGATCTATGTATTAATCATTTATTAAGTTGGTTCTGGTCTGGGAGCAATTAGTGTTCTAATTCTAATTTTGATGGGCATTATCAATGGACATGTGTTGTCTATTCCATAGTTTGGCACCAGGGCACATCTTTCAGGTCGGGGAGGTCGATACTAAGAGATGGTGGAGAGATAGTAATAGTTGGGTATAGTTACAAAATATAGACCCATCTGTGAGCACATCTTACAGAAAGCAATAATATCGATCAACTAGGATCGAAACCCTGACAGGTATGACCTGTGCCATAGTACGAATACTGCTGCTGGATACGTTAATCGTACTTTTAGGTCTCCTATTGCCGGTGTACTAACAAAAACGTTTGTAAGTACGAATGCAATTAAGGTTTTGATCGAAATTTAAATTAATCTAAAAGCTATTGAAAGTTCATCTTTAAAGTATTAAAGATATTTATTTCAAATTTAAACACTGGACGATCAAATAATTTTGATGCTGACTGTACTTCTAAGTAGTAAGTAGGTGCTTCGATTTCATCTTGTACATACATGGACATACCAATCTTTTTTACTAACTGGTTGATTTTGTTTCAGTTTTTTGTTCGAATAAGTGAAAACTAAATGAAAAAGATTACACATTAATGGAATGCTGCATTGCAATATAATTGATTTATTGACACTTAAGATTGAAATCCAACTCAATGCCGCTTACTATGAGTTAAGTCCAAAGTGTCAAGCTTGATGTGCTCTTAACTGTACATATTTAATAAATATGTTTTACAAAATATAAAATTCTTTAAATTTATAACAATAAATGCGTCGAACATTTTGCTTACAATAAATAAACATGTGTTAAAACTTCCGACTAATCAACAGCCAAAGCCTCATTATTGGCACAATGTTTAGAAGCCATCCCGTGGTTCAAGTAAATTAGATCGAAAGAATTTTTCTTTGTGTTGTTCGATCTTTGTATCAATAATAACATATAATAACATTCTATTTGTTCACTTAAAACGCAATGCTGATATAAATATAGCCATCCCTAAAGCGTGAAACACGTAGAGAGCGGGTGCGGGTCGGGCGCATGTCGGGTCTAATTCCGTGTATTTATATGGACGACAACACACGACCCGCGGCCCGACCCGCACCCGCTCTCAGTGCATTTCAAGCTTTAAGTGATCTAAATGTAAGTAAATATTATTTGTAACTTAATATTATTATTAGCTGAAATAAAAAGTGAGTCTTATAAAACACCAGGGAATATAGCGTGTCTATTAACAGGATAATTCTTGAACGTCTTCTTATACCATTCGTGAGCCTGGATCGCCGTTTGGATCTGAAAATACAAAACAAAGATGGTGTGTAATGAATGTATCATATAAATATTTTTAGTCTAACGCTCATTTAATATTTTTTGTTTTATATAACAATTCACTTAATACAACGAACGTTTAATATTAACTTACATTCTCTAATTTCATTTTTGATAACAATCATTAATCCTAGCACTCATTTTAAATAACAATTAAGTCGATACAACCTCAAATGGCTGGTTCCGTATAACAGTGAAAGTGTTGAATCGATCTCTTTGGCAAAAAATATATGGTAAAATTGAGCATATTTTCACTGATTAATATACGGTGTGAAAACACGATTCCTAAAAGTTTTCACGATAGAAAAGAAATATAAACTTACCTCAAAATTGTACTTGAAAACCGTCGTATTTAATAGATGATTTTTTTTATACTAACTAAACTAAATAGAACACGTGTAGTATACGATGTACGTTTTTGGAATGGATTTAATTTCGTTTGTAAAAAAATAAATTCTGATATAAAGCCAGTGTCCCTGCCGTTCGCCCCGCGCATTGGAATCGATTCAGTACGGGAAAACAAGTTCGGTTCAGGGGGTCTACTCTCGATCTTCGTCCGAAAAATTACTGCCAAATAGCAATACTTGACCAAATGAAAAGACGCGTGATGCGAATGAAGCTTCATACTGGATACTTGTCTTTTAATTTTGTCGAATATTACTTATTTCCACAGTAATTGTTTCGGACGGATGTCAGACGGAGATCGAGAGTAGCCCCCCTGGCTCGAGCTGCTTTTTCTTGAACTAACCTAACCAACCTACTAAAGGAAAGGGGCGCATATTACCTACAGGTAAACAGCTCGTAAAAAATATCTAAATTGACAATATATTATATAAAGTGATTGTTATATAAAAATATATTTATATAAAATGTTGATATTATTACAAACGAGAATAATATGAAATTAAGTCATAGTAAGTGTATTTAGTCCAAGTGAAAATTATATATTAAATAAGCGTTATATCCATGTTATATCTATTAAAATCAGTTTTTTTTATTTTTACACAAAATGGAGACGGAGTACACAAGTAATGACTTATATTATAAGACACATCATAATTGTCAAACACTGTTAAAACATTGCTGTAAAAACATTAAAACATATATTTGCTAAATCTTCGTAATGCAACGGAAAGAAGTTTTGGCTCTTTTATCAGGTACCATTTCATTCATTCATTTCAAGCAATTTTAATAATACTGTGAAACTAAATTCCTTTTTTTTAAATCGTAGTAGGTACTCATTATTATAAATTAAATGAAATATTTATATCTTTACATGATGAATGTATTTCAAAGACGCATTACAAAAAAAATTTAAGAAAATAGTTTCTCAGTTTCGGTCTGTAGTTTCTCAGTGTCTCAGGTCCTCAGGTCTGTGAGGGCTCATTGCTACATATTTAGGTCTGTAACTTTAAATTATTTCTTTACAAAATCCACGACGGGCTCTACAATTGTTTTACAACTTAGTTCTACTATGGACCAATGACTCGAGAGAATTGCTAATCTCCATGCTACACGTCGTAACTGTGGAAAAGTTCAATATTCCGTCTTACATCTAGATGGCGCTGATCAATATAGTGGATAACAATTAATCCCTCTTTAACATGAAATATAAGTAGTTAGATTTTTTCCTTGTAATATTATTCAAATATTGACCATGGGCTAAAATTATTTTCTGAGCTTTGACAAATATGCGTGTCTAATAGATGGCATTGTGTGTTACAGACTAGGTGTCAATAGATGGTGCTAATCCTAACAAAATAAAGAATAGCCGGCACTACCCATAAACATCAATACGAAAGCTGAGTAAAGACTTCGCGAATTTATCGCCGACGTCTGTCACAGGGGATCGAATCGGCTATCAAATGAGAAGCAACTGTTCGCGCATTGGGCTAACACAGCGCTATTCCACAAATAAAGTATATTTTGCGATTTTATCATAAGTAAATCCGATCAAAAGTCTTTTAATATTTCAACATGCAACATTTTCTCTATCTCTTTCTGAAAATGGTCAACGTCGTTACATGTCTTATAACATGATCATAAAGCCTTTTGCCTTGACCAGCTAAATGCGATTTCGATGATCGAGGTGACGCCCTTACAGACGCCCTCACATACAGACGATCCCTCATTTCGATCGATCAGCACGATAATCGTATCAATATGTCGCTACTCCTCTGGATGACGTTCAAGTTACTCGTTAACAACATAAAAAGACACTATCGATTCTTCGTTTCGATCACTCGGAAACTACATTATATGGAGCATTTGAAAGGAGCCTTTTAAATATCGCAAAAGATGGTGAATACTATTATCTATCAGGTGAACAGTATGACTATTTCAAATCTATAAAGAACATACCTGATTGCCTAAAACCCACAAATAAATGCAGAAGAAAGTTTTAGTGGGTATCAACAGCACCAGAACAGTATACATGATCACTTCACACAACCTATGCGGACTGGAAACCTTCTCGAACATTCTCCCGTGTGGTATCCCATGGTCTTCAGTTACCACTTTGCCACTCTTCTTGTCTTTACGCATGTTAGCGAATATAATATTTGTTTTTAATTGTTCTTGCCAACACCAGAGAAATACGAGTACACAAGGCACGGAGAGTATTGTTGTGTATGTGTCCGTCCAGTTTACTTTTTCTTTAGGTCGTGTGTCTGAAATGCAGATAACAAAAGATGTTAAAAAAAAGTTTTTTGTTTTATATAACAAGTTCTATATTAAGATTCGTACTAATAAATCCTAGGACGACTATTCTGCCTTCGAAAAAACGAAACGCAAAGTTTTTTGGATAAAAATAGCAGTCAAAATATATTTTTATATTGAGTAGCTTACTTATGTTTTTTATTGATGTTACTTGGACCTTTTGCTGTATGTATACCAACAAATTATTGAGATTTCTACAAAAATTAGGTTACATCTATTTACCTGTCCATACTTGTACAATTACCACCAAAAAGTTAGTATATACTAATACAAAATCATATTCATATTGTAGCGTCAAGAGCACGTCGAGCATTACACTTAAGATTTAATTTCCGAAAACAGGCGTGCCCCAAAGATCGCCACAAAACGTGTTTTGTTTCGCATTGTTTGCATCTAGTGAATTCCTACAACCTTCACCAGGTCAATAGTCCACTTTGTGAGTGGTCTACCCAGTACCTTGACAGCTCTTTGGCCCGGTATCGGTTATATGATCTGCGAACAATGTGCCCCGCTCATTGTTACTAAATCTTTGCAATTCTTTGGGCTATGTCGGCTACTTCGCTACAAAAAAAACTTACCTAGAACCAAAGGTGCCTGTCCAAAAACGGTGACTATACATCCAAAGTAATGTATGATACCAGCTAAATAATGACTCAGATTCATTTTACTGGACTTGGCGAATACTTGCAAGAAATATGTTTCGTATAAACGTCTGCTGCATTGCATTGTGAGGAGACACATTGCAATGATGGCTGCCGTGACCGACACTGAAACAGATTACAAAAAGGAATATTAACTAACTAGTTTAATTTACCTTGAGATGTCTACCCAATATAATAAATGAATAATAAATAACGCACACACTCATAACCCCGCACTAAGGTAAACCCGTGTCGCGGGTGCGCGGGTGCCATGAACACACACACAGACCACCACAAATTACACCCAAACTCACGAGAGAAATAATTGTAGGCCATACAAATATTTCTCCCGGCCCGGGAATCGAACCTGGGACCTCTGCGTGGCAGTCCGGCATGGTAACCGTTCGGCCACGTGGTAAATGTATATAAAAGGATTTTCATTTTTCTTATAATCTATTTCGCCGATTAAATTTGTAAACGCAGTTGGATAACGGTATCTATCCGAATCCGAATCTGAATCGAAAGTTTAAATCGGAATGTTCTGAATAGCACGGAAAGCGCTCTTAGATTCGAGAATTCGGCCAAGGAGGCAGTTAAATATATCCCGGAGTCATAATTATACCGTTCACCATATTTATTTTTTATGCATACATACACTTCACGCCCTTTTTCTATCGGGATAGGACATAGTCTGCCACTTGCTACGATCCTGAAACATCTTTCGCCTCCAATGCTTTCACCACACCAATGTTTTCATATATGCTCATAGGTTAATGCTTTCATACACGCTCATAGGTTAAGGGTAAGAGTACCTCAGTTTGGTGTTTACACAAATTATATAAATTTGAATAAAAGTAAGGTGTAACTAAAAGTAAAATGTTGAGGCCATTTCCTATTAATTTACTGTATACAGGTAACATTACAAACGATAAAAATTAAATCACCCATCAATGAATGCTGCCATGTTACAATTATTTTAGGAAAACATTTTATTACCTAAATAGATACTACATAAATCTATTGAATATTTGAATAATAGTCATAATTAAATAAGCTTTATAATAACGCGCACATAATCGTAGTCCCACACTAGGGAAACCCTGTATCGCGGGTGCCACGGACATACATAGATACTAGCAGTAGAGCTCCTTGTGAAAGAGTTCGTCCAGGGAAGTGCTGCCACCTTACCTATTTCTGTAATGTCAGCATTTCTGTGTTCCGGTTTTGAAGGGTAAGGGTGCTGGTGAAATTACAGGCACATGAGACTTGCAAACTTATGTCTCAGAGTGACAGGCGCAGTGGCAGTGCCCTTCAAATTTTTGCGATATAAAGTTCGGAGTTGCAATGCAACTGTTATGGGAGCGTGTAGCTTCCTATAAGGCGCACGACATGTCCGTCCTGCAACTTGATAATATAAAAAAAGCATAGATAACCACAAATTACACCTAAACTCACGAGAGAAATAAGTGTAGGCCATACAAATATTTCTCCTGTCACGAGAATCGAACCCGGGACCTCTTGCGTGGCAGTCTAGCATGGTAACTGTTCGGCCACTGGGGCAGTTAATTGGAGGCTTTAAGATGATTGATGAATATTTTTGTAAAAATAATAATAAGGTTGTGGGGATTGAGTTAGCTACTTTCATTATTTACAATAATTGACGCCAAGGTAAGGTACCGCAAGTTGCTAGAATGTTGTTTAGAATTTTAACTAGTTAAGTCATATGTAAAGGTTATCACTTTAAAACCTTGAAGTGGTAGATAGTTTAACTATAACTTTTAACTTCAATGTACGAACTAAGACCTCTGTGGCTCAGAGGTCTTGTGGTGTCAGATGAAAAGGTTTGAAACTATTTAAAGTGATTAATATAAGAAACAAAGATTTCGAAATAAATGGATCTGTCCAGGGTGTTCTGGGTAGTTTCCATAACTCCAAAGACACGTTGGTACTAATAGTTTAAGGAAAAACTACTGTAAACAAAGCAGCAGTGATCGTAAACTTTTTCTTTAGAAAGACAAAACGTTGCAGCATCATGATAAATTTATTATTTTATAAAAAGTTTCTTTATACAGTGCAAACTTTTCTAGATCTACAGATCTATACATACTTAATCCATTTTAAAAACTTGCACTATCTATATACACTTAACCTATTTCAAAAACTTGCAGTATAAAAAAATTAAAAGAAACAGAGGTTACACACATTAAATGGAAAATAATAGAACATTTTCATTTGATCTTTAGTGTATAACATGAGTAAAAGAAATGTAATAATTACATAAATTTTGTGTAGATTTGAGAATTTTGTTTAATGGTATTTATTAATGCCCCTGACAAAATTCCCAAAACTTTTTTCTATCTAATGGTAAAAAAAAACGAAGTGTAGACAAGATCAATTCTACCAGATGTTGACCATAGGACCTCCTTGACTAGTGCTCTCAACTAACCGCTCAGTCACCCTAACATTGAGGGATATAAAGAATTCTGTAACTATACTCAACACTCTCAGGGAAAGAAATAAAGTAGTCCTGCACTGAGTTCCAGGCCACTCCAACATCGAGGGAATGAGGTAGCAAAAGCTGATGCCAGGGAAGCTCATTGGTCCTGAACCCTTTATATTATACGTGCTCCCGCCTGAAGTGTACAAAGTAGTGTACCCAGTAGTGTATGAAGTTCCATACTGTGAAGGCACAGGCCACAACCAGAGGACATAAAGCTGTCGGAGCCAGGAAAGTCTTTCAGTTCTTTAATGCTGTTGGTCTTGCTCCGAAGTGTAATTAGTGGTGATCACAATAGAACAGTTTAGTGGTCACAGTGATGAGAAGCTGCATAGGCCTTGAAAGCTACCTAATAATAACAAGTAATGCCGCACAGCTAACGGCTGGGCCACTGAGTGTAAACATTAAATAAAAACCTAGACACACCAGGAAAGTGACAATAAGTCTAACGTTTATTGTCTTAATTATTAGATTAGGGAAGTAATTGCTGCTTGTCACAGTAAGTAGAAAATTCAGTGAGGATGTTAAAATATTCTATCAAAATCTTACCTGATGGTTCATGTTGTTCTAATAAAAGCTTCAATACAAATTGTATATATCTGCTGACACCACAGTCGAAGTAATATACCACAAACATATACCCCAATGTGAACACACTCAGTACTGACGAAAATAGGTAAAAATGTCGATAATATGCTTTAGGAATTTCTATAATTTGTAGGAAATTCCCACCAGAGCCTTGGTAAGCAAAATTACCATATTTATAGCCTTTTATTACAAACGCGGGCAAATGATTTTCGTATTTTGAAATTAAAACTCCTGTGAACGTAACTGTAAATGCCAAACTTAGGAAAATAAATTCTAATATGTTTAGCATCGTAGTTATTTTGCCCTTACTTGAACGTCAAACTCGTGCAGACTAGAATGTCGTCGCAACATTACCAAAACTAATACTAATCACTTTACTGAGTAACGGAATTATGAAATATAACGGGATAAAATTGTCCATTCGAATTTCGTTCCACCTAAATTGCAAAACATCTAATCATTAGAAACGCTAGAAACGATATTTTTGTGTTAAACAGAGAAAACATATATATTGACTTACGTAGCGCTATCTTTGTCTTTCGTTAATATTAGCGAAGAAAAACTGTGGCTATTATGGTGGCTATTGAATAAAAGTTGTATCTGTTTTACAATTACATGACGCCATAGGTATGCCCAGTTGTCCGCGCAGTGGTACATTTTCTGGCCCAGCTTAATATTAGATAAACACATTAAACCTCATTTAAAAGTAGTTTTCTTATTACATCGAAAGAAAGAAAATAAATTTAAGCGATTTGACTGCTATTTCAAAATTAAAATTGATACAACACAAAATAACTTGGCAATTGCATGACGTCATGAACGAGACAAACAATTAATATTACCTCAATTAAGATAGTAATCTAGGAATAAACCTTATCAGCTGACATATTGGGTATTTTTGGCTTGGATATAAGTTCTTTGAGCTGATTTAATAATATGCGAAATGAGTTGCGTGTGGTAGTACATAAAAATGATTGTCATTTAGAAAATATTTTTCATGAATCTAAGACATAAAGCAATAAAAGACTAACGACCAACGGAAACTTTCAAACAACATAGCGAGGAAATTAATAAAACTGACAAAATGAATAGTAATTACAAGACTGGCGAGTACGGAAACTGACAACCTGGTCTCGACCATGCAAACAGCTTATTTTAAATATGCGTTAACATCCCTAGTAAGTTTGTGTTTTAAATGCGCCGACGACGCGCGTTACGCACCGTAAACGCGTGTCGTCTGCACGTATATGTATAATAAATTTAGTATGCATGTATTTAGTATTTAATATGTATACGCCGCAGAGTCGCCGACAAAGGTCGCAGACGCGCTGTAGCTTACACTGAAGACTTAAATCGAAACATATCTACTGAAGAAAAAGAGAAACTATTCGCCTGTTCGAAACGGAACGAAGAAAAAAGTATTATTTTATAATCATGCATGCTTGGAGATACCCTTAGCGATGGAACGAGTTGTATTTGTTTCAACTCAGGCTTTAGACTTCACTGCTAACTCGAGTTAATTCGACTCGGTGCAACAGCGAGTCGCGAGTAGAACTCGAACCGACGATTCACCGAGTTGGACTCGATCGGCCGGCCGACCGCGACTCGAGCGTAACCGAAGGTCACCGAACCCACCGAGCTAGCTCGAGTTCACAAAGTGTAGCTCGAGTTCATAAAAAATTAACTCGAGTTGACTCGTTATAGGAGTAACTCGGGTTGACGGAGTTAAATAACTCGATTCGCCATCACTAGTATCAATAATTTACAGGTATCTCAGAGTATGATACTCTGAGATACCTGTAAATTATTGATAGTATCCGTTACCTTATTCAAATGGTTATCTACGAGTACCTATGATTTGATTTTGGGAATATTATCAAGTTATATAGATTTTAAGACTTTCGTGGTTATTCACTAAATTATTATCACTAATATTAGGTTTCTTACCCGGCACCATTGACTTACAAATAAATGGACGAAGGTCTAATACAAAAACCACGAAAAAAATGTCCCAAGTCAACCTATTCGAAATTTAAATTGTAATGTCATCGCAGTATCGCGCTGTCAGTCGAACAAATGAAGACTAAAGCGAAGTTTGGCGCTCTGTATACGATTTTAGCGCCTTACAAGTGCGGACACTTTTTAGCGCGGACCCGACGTACATATAATTGTAAGTCATTGCCCGACACGCCCATGGTCACGTTCCGAAATATCGGGAAAATAAAAAGAAGTCATACCGTGGTAAGAAACCTGATATTAGTGATAATCATGTTATCAAGTTATTTAGTAAAGGTAGATTAGTTTTATGTTTGAATGACTTCAGGCCTAAAAGATTAACTTTGAATTTTTAAATGGGAGACGCGGTATTCCCTGTTAAACTCTCCTTACTACCTATACACAAGATTTTGACATTAACCTCGTTTACTTTCTTGAATGTAGTAGCATTTTTTCGCCTGTAAAGACAGTGAAACGTAACAATAGAGGTCTACACATGTTGTTCTTTGAGTACTCTCAGTCTATACCATTCAGGGGAGGCCTCGATGTATGTTAATTTAAATATACAAAGCGATCGCAATGAATATAAAAACATAAGATACACAAAGGCTTTTGTAAAATATCTTAAAAGCTATGTTCAAAGTAAAGCTTTTTATTGTTTAAAAGAAACTCTTTTTAGAAAATAGTACCTAAGAACTATACGAATTTCAAAGCATATAATTTGTAAGTATTCTATCTAAGTAGGTACCTACCTAAATATTTAATATAAATATATCATGAATGAGACTTTAATGTTATTATATTTATTTATTGTTGTTATTGCCTAAAATTCTATTTAGTTTTGTCATTAATTATTTCTAATTTTATTTCATTAATGTAATTAGTAAAATGCGGCCGCGCGATTGTTACTTTTCATACAATTTCTAGAAGCGCTGCAACCGCGCGGTAGCCGCGCGACAGTCGCGGTGCAGCCACACTCGATTGCATCATGGTCATGGTTAGTGAGGTGCACGTGTTAATTTTTCAAATTAACTTCGATGGACGAAAATCGAGTTGAAGAATTTATAGAGAATGCAGAACAACACCTTGCAATATGGGATATCAGTTCCGCCAGTTATTCTAATCGACTGAAAAAAAAGGCATTGGAAAATTTATGTCTAAAATTTATTGACAATTTTGAAACTAAAACTACAAATGAAAAAAAAAACATAGCAGG